TGGAGGCAATTTCTGCCATCTTGGAAGCCCCTTGGGCCCTCTTGGGGCCGTCTTGGGAGTCTCTTGGGCCATCATGAGGTCATCTTGAAGGCCTCGTGGGCGATATTGGGGGGCCTCTTGGACCGTCTTGAGCCGTCGGTAGGCCGAAAAAAAACAAATGCCAAAATCTTCTACTTATGGAAGGACCCTTGTGGCGCTTCTCATGTACGAGCGATATATATATATATAAAGAGAGAGAGAGAGAGAGAGAGAGAGAGAGAGAGAGAGAGAGAGAGAGAGAGAGAGAGAGAAAGAAAGAAAGAGAGAGAGAGAGAGAGACAGAGAGAGGAACAAAAGTAAGGAAAATCAGTGATTTGGGCCTCTTCGGGCCCTCCTGGAGAACCTCTTGGAGGCCTCTTGGTTCATCTTGGAGGCCTCTTGGGGGCCTCTTGGGTCGTCTTCGGCCATCTGGAGGCCATCTCAGGCCGTCTTAGGTGCATCTTGGGCCGTGTTAGAGGCATCTTGGGGCCATCTTAGCCGTCTTGGAGGCCATCTTGGGCGTCTTGGAGGCCTCTTGGGCCGTTTTGGGGGCCTCTTGGGCCGTCATGGGGCCATCTTGGAGGCCTCGTGGGCTATCTTGGGGCGATCGTGGGGGCCTCTTGGGCCGTCTTGAGCCGTCGGAGGGCCGAAAAGAAGCAAATGCCAAAATCTGTCAAAAAAAAACAAGAAAAAAAACATGATTTCGGCCTCTTCGGGCCCTCCTGGAGGACCTCTTGGAGGCCTCTTGGGCTGTCTTGGAGGCCTCTTGGGCCGTCTTGGGCCATCTTGAGGCCATCTTAGGCCGTCTTGGGTGCATCTTGGGCCGTCTTGGAGGCATATTGGTGCCATCTTAGCCGTCTTGGAGGCCACTTTGGGCCGTCTTGGAGCCGTCTGGAGCAGGAAAAACCTTTTGGAGCCGGGTCTGGAAGATCTTTCCAGGACCCCGTCGGGACGCGCCGGAGCCCCAGGGAGAGTTCTTTTGGAAAAAGAATCCGCCGCCCCTTGTCGATTCATCGCAGGGGCGCCTGGCGTGCTGAATGCTCTCGGTTTTGGTTTTGGTTTTTTTTCCAAAAGAACTCCCCCTGGGGCTCCGGCGCGTCCCGCCGGGGTCCCAGGAGGGTCTTCCAGGAGCTCAATTCCCCCAACTTTTCCTCTAAGACGGCTCCAGATGGCCTCCAAGATGGCGATATTGGCCCAAGATGGCCTCCAAGATGGTCCAAGATGGCCTCCAAGTCCGCCCAAGAGAGGAGGAGATGACTCCAAGTCCGCCCGAGAAATCTCCAAAACGGCCCAACACGGCGCAAGAGGTGCCCAAAGAGGCCTCCAAGGCGACCCAAGAGGCCTCCAAGAGGTCCTCCAGGAGGGCCCGCAGAGGCTAAAATCATTGATGCTCCTTTTGTTTTTAAGGTTTTCAAAGGTTTTTCGTATTTGCTCCTTTTCGGCTTTCCCACGACCCAAGACGGCCCAAGAGACCCCCAAGATCGCCCCCACAGTGCCCACGAGGCCTCCAAGTTCGCCTCAGGACTGCCCAAGAGGCCTCCAAGACGGCCCCGAGAGGGCACAAAGGCGACCCAAGAAGCTTCCAAGACGCCCAAGATGGCCTCTAAGACGGCCCTGGAGCACCCAAGAGGGCCCCAAGTCTGCCCAGAGAGGCCCCCCAAACGGCTTCCGACGGCGTCAGACGGGCCAGGAGCCCACCAAGATGGCCGAAGTTGGCTCGAAGCTGGCCCAAGACGGCCCAAGAGGCCTCCAAGGGGGCCTCCAGGAAGGCCAGAAAAGGCCAAAAACATTGGTTGTCCTGAGGTTTTTGAAGGATTTTGACATTTGCTTCTTTTCTGGCTTTCCGACGACCCAAGAGCCCCCAAAGATCACCCAAAGATCGCCCAAGAGGCCTCCATGATGGCCCCAGAACGGCTCAAGAGACCCCCATGACGGCCCCAAGAGGTCCCCAAGACGGCCCAGGAGGCATTTAAGATGCCCAAGATGGCCTCCAAGACGGCCTTGGAGCATTCCAAGAGGGCCCCAAGTCGGCCCAGAGGGGCCCCCCAAAAGGGTGCCGACGGCGTCGGGCGGGCCAGGGGCCCACCAAGACGGCCGAAGATGGCACTAAGATGGCCCAAGACGGCCCAAGAGGCCTCCAGGAAGGCCCGAAAAGACCAAAATCATTGGTTCCCCTATGAATTTTCAAGAATTGTGGCATTCGCTTCTTTTCGGCCTTCCGACGGCCCGAGACGGCCCAAGTGCCCCCAAAGATCGCCCAAGACGGCCCCAAGAGGCCCCAAGAGGCCCCCAAGACGGCCCAAGAGGCCTCCAAGACGCTCAAGATGGCCTCCAAGACGGCCCAAGAGCCCTCCAAGACGTCCTCCAAGAAGGCCCGAAAGGGTCAAAATGGCTTCCAGGCGGCCAAGATGACCTTCAAGATGCCCACGTGTTCCCCGAAGGCTTTCCAAACCGATTCGGTGAACACATGGCCCGATAGCTTGGCCAAGCTCTGGCCTCAACGTTCGGTCACGTAGGCGCTTCCCAAAAAAGCAGGGGGCGGCGGTGATTCGCCGTAGGCGTCTCCGAGTGCCTGGCGTGCTAGACCCCTTTCGGTTTTGGTTTTGATTCTTTGTCCAGAAATCTCCCCCTGGGCCTCCGGCGCGTCCCGCCGGCCACCCGGAAAGGTGCCCAATTGCACAACCGTGCCACCAAGACGGCTCAAGATGGCCTCCATGATGGCCACGTTGGCCCAAGACGGCCTCCAAGACGGCCAAAGGGTGTCTAAGACGGCCCAAGAGGCTCCCCAGAGGCCTCCAAGACGGCCCAAGAGGCCTCCAAGAGGTCCTCCAGGAGGGCCCGAAGAGGCCAAAATCATTGATTTGCCTTAGGTTTTTGAAAGACTTGGGCATTCGCTTCTTCTCCGTTTTCTGACGACCCAAGACGGCCCAAGAGGCCCCCAAGATCGCCCCCACAGCGCCCAAGAGGCCTCCAAGATGGCCTCAGGACTGCCCAAGAGGCTCCCAAGACGGCCCCAAAAGGGCTTAAAGACACCCAAGAGGCCTCCAAGACGCTCAAGATGGCCTCTAAGACGGCCCTGGAGCACCCCAAGAGGGCCCCAAGTCGGCCCAGAGAGGCCCCCCTAAACGGCTTCCGACGGCGTCAGACGGGCCAGGAGCCCACCAAGATGACCGAAGTTGGCTCGAAGCTGGCCCAAGACGGCCCAAGAGGCCTCCAGGAAGGCCGGAAAACATGCCAAAAACAACGCTTATCCGTAGGTTTTTGTTGAAGGATGTTGACATTTGTTTTTTTCTGGCTTTCCGACGGCCCGATACGGCCCAAGACCACCCAAAGATCGCCCAAAGATCTCCTAAGAGGCATCCAAGATGGCCCCAGAACGGCCCAAGAGGCCCCCAAGACGGCCCCAAGAGACCCCCAAGACGGCCCAGGAGGCATTTAAGATGCCCAAGATGGCCTCCAAGACGGCCCTGGAGCATTCCAAGAGGGCCCCAAGTCGGCTCAGAGAGGCCCCCCAAACGGCTTCCGACGGCGTCGGACGGGCCAGGGGCCCACCAAGACGGCCGATGATGGCACTAAGATGGCCTAAGACGGCCCAAGAGGCCTCCAAGAGGGCCTCCAGAAAGGCCCGAAAAGGCCAAAATCATTGATTTCCATTGAGTGTTCGAAGGATTGTGGCATTTGCTTCTTTTCGGCCTTCCGACGGCCCGAGACGGCCCAAGTGCCCCGAAAGATCGCCCAAGAGGCCCAAGACGGCCCCAAGAGGCCCCCAAGACGGCCCAAGAGGCCTCCAAGACGCTCAAGATGGCCTCCAAGACGGCCCAAGAGCCCTCCAAGACGTCCTCCAGGAAGGCCCGAAAGGGTCAAAATGGCTTCCAGGCGGCCAAGATGACCTTCAAGATGCCCACGTGTTCCCCGAAGGCTTTCTAAACCGATTCGGGGAGCACGTAGTCCGATAGCTTGGCAGGTCTCGCCTCAACGTTCGGCCACATAGGCGCTTCCAAAAAGGCAGGGGGCGACGGTGATTCGCCGTAGGCATCTTCGATTCTTTTGGAAAAAAAGACCAAAACCAAAACCCAAAGGATTCAGCACGCCAGGCACCCCTGCGATGAATCGACAGGGGGCGGTGGACCTAGTGGCCTTCGGCCCATCCCGCCACCGGGCCTGGATTGTTGGTTAGAGGCCTCTTGGATGTTCGTTTGGATATCGTGGGAGGCCTCTTGGAGACAGTCTTGAGGTCTTCAACCTACTCCTGCTCCTCCTTTTTGACGCTAGGCACGCTGAAGCGTCATGGCTGGAGCGTTCGTCGTCCTCCTCCTCCTCCTCCTCCTCCTCCTCCTCCTCCTCCTCCTCCTCCTCCTCCTCCTCCTCCTCCTCCTCCTCCTCCTCCTCTCCTTCCTCCCCCGGGAAGGAGGTCTCCACAGGTCTATTGGTGACCCTGCGGCAGGTCCGCTCCAAGCGTTTTTTTTGTTTCGAGCATCCCCAGGGCGAGCGTTTTGCCACCGCGCCGGCCCTCGCTGCACCGCCCACATCGCACTGGAGGGCGTTCGGGCGGCAAGCACGCGTTGGCGCTAGCTTTCGCTCTGAGGATCTCGGATTTTTTCCCTACCTAGGCTCTGCCTAGAAGGGTTCTTACTCGGTATGCTTAGAGGGCCGGGCAGTGCAACTCGCCCCGGGCGGTTCCCCCAGTATCCTCCCCGCGGTTCCCCCAGTGACGTTCCCTTAGCTTAGCGTTGCTTATCTCATCTTAGCTTAGCTTATTTCATCTTAGCTTAGCTTCATCTTAGCTTAGCTTAGCTTCATATAGATGTTGTTTTCCTAGATCCTCCAACTCCTAGGTAGGGTCGCACTGGGATAATTGAATTCAAGACGCCATTCTTCTTCCGAAACCAACAAGCCAGGGCTGCTGGAATTCAAGAGGCTGGGATCCTCGCTCATTGAATTCGATTAGGCCAGCGTGGTGAATTCAGGGCGCCCTTCGCCAGGACGTGGCCAGGATGCCCATCCACGACATCCGGGACGGCTGGTTCGTCATCCACACTAAGGACGGCAGGCGGCGGCCCCGCCTCCCCGCCCAGGGATGCCGCGCGGAGAGGTGGCGCCCGCGGGCGTGCGACGAGCGCGCGGGAGCCGCCTCGGAGCCCGACTCTTCTCCATCTTGATGTCGCCGATGCATCACCGATGCATCTGCGTGCGGCTCGACCGTCAAACCCCGTCTGCTCGGACCCCAGTCTTGCGGCAGGAAAAAGAAGGGAGGAGAGAAATGGAGGCCTCTTGGGGCGTTTCGGAAACCTGTTGGGCCGCCTGGAGGCTACTATTGCGACTTGGACCGGTACTTCGGCGATTCGGGGCCCTCGAGGACCGTCTTGGGGGCATCTTGGGGCACTTTTGCCGCGTCTTGGGGCTTTTCTGGGCCCCCGAACCGCCCGGGGGGGAGTCGTATCTGGGTGGCGACCCCCCCGACCCCCCCGGGATCCCCCCGGGACCCCCCACCTCTGGCGGCGAAGGGAACAAAAGGAAGGGGCTTCCCTTCGACTCAACTACAACGTTGCTCCATTTCGCTGTGACTGACGCGCTCGAGAAGGAGGGCCCGGTGAACGTGGGGGGAGCGGCGACGGGCCTAGGGAAAACAGGAGGGGAGCGGCAAAGGCGACGACGACGACAACGACGACGACGACGAGTCAAACGGAACAGCCTCTTCCACACGCTGGCAGGGTCGGCGGATTCACCTCAGCACAGATGTTGCCGCTGGCTGGTGCCCTGTCTGCCTCCTCGTCATCGTCGCCTCCCTCCTGCCCTCCCTCATCCCCTTCCTTCTGCTGAGCGCTAGTTTTGCGATGCCTCGCGCCATTCCGTTCCTCAGATCTTGGTCCTATTTTCTCGTTATTGTTGTTGATGGCGACAGGCGGCCTAAAGGCCTAGACGCCCTCGGCCGAAGGCCGAGAAAAGTAGACAGTATGGGGTTAAGAAGAGACCGCCCTAGAGCAGCCTCGTGGCCGCCCCGGGGCGGAATCAACTGTGAAGAGCCCGGGCAGGGCAGCTTGCAGCCGATGAGGAGATGGTCCGACTTTATCTTCGCCTTGGCTTTCTCGGTAGCAAGTCATGGGAGCCTGGTATACCCTCTTAATCCTGTCTTTAGCGTCGACTGGCGTCGATTAGCTTCTGGAAGTGGATGAGATAGCGCCGGTTTAGCGTCGGCTAGCGTAGATTAGCGTCGATGTAGCGTCGATGGTCGTCGATTTCGCGTCGATTAGCGTCAATTCAGCGTCGATTCGCAAGAGCCGACAAAATGGGATGGGAGGCTCCCATCAGTTGCCACCGAAGGCTTCGCTGAAGCGGGGGGTGGGGACGCCCCGCCGCGAGGCCGTACTACCACCACCCCGAGAGCGGCACCACGCAGTGGGCCCACCCGCGCACCAAGGCTTCTGTGGGAGCTCCGCCTCGGCACCGCCGACGGCGGCGGCGTCCTCGGCGGCCACGGCGACGGCGGCGACGGCGACCAAAGCATGCAGTCGGAGAGCTGGGCGTCTTCCTCCTCCTCCTCCCTTCCTCCGCCTCCTCCTCCTCCGCCTCCTCCGCCTCCTCCTCCTCCTCCTCCTCCTCCTCCTCCTCCTCCTCCTCCTCCTCCTCCTCCTCCTCCTCCTCCCTCCTCCCTTCCTCCGCTCCTCCCCTCCTCCTCCGCCTCCTCCTCCTCCTCCTCCTCCGCCTCCTCCGTCTCCTCCTCCTCCTCCTCCTCCTCCTCCTCCTCCTCCTCCTCCTCCGCCTCCTCCGCCTCCTCCTCCTCCGCCTCCTCCGTTCTCCTTCTCCCACCCCACGCCCCCCGCTCTTGTGCACCTGCAGGTGCCCTACGGCCCCTCTATCGCGAGCGCGGGAGCGAAGCCGCGGCCGAGCTTCCACCACTCTGCTGCACGGGCTCGGCACTCCAGACCGTGAGGCCCACGAGTGGGGCCACCCCTGGCGAAGGTCCCCGAGAGGCCGCAGGATGCCCAGAAGGAAGCCCCAAGAGGCGGCGGCGACGGCAGCGGCGGCGGCGACGGCGGCGGCGGCGACGACGACGACGAGAGCGACGACGACGACGACGGCGATGACGACGACGGTGACCACGACGACGATGACGACGACGAAGACGACGACGGAAACGACTACGACCACGACGACCACGACGACGACGACGACGACGCCGACGACTGCGACGACGACAACGACAACGACGACGACGACGACGACGACGACGACGACGACGACGACGACGACGACGACGACGACGACGACGACTGGCCGACGACGATGACGACGACGACGACGACGACGACGACGACGCCCCGTTGCAGGGGGCGCGGGGACAGCCGCCTGCCCGGCATGGAGCGTGCTGCAGCCTCTGTCGGGCCCGTGGGAGGCACCTCGTCGCCGCGGCCAGGTCCCGCTCGAGTGGTCGCATCAGGCCTGACACTTGGAGAGCTCTGGGGGGCGATGTCTGGGGGTGGTGGAGTGGGGAGGAGCAGGAGGAGAAGGAGGGAAGGAGGGGGAGGAGGGAGGACAGATGA